GCTAATGGAACTAAGGATTGATAAGTCTCCTGGCCCTGATGGAATGCATCCCAGGGTACTAAAAGAGATGGCGGGAGAAATAGCAGGTGCACTGGCGGTAATTTTCCAAAATTCGCTGGACTCTGGGGCAGTCCCAGCAGATTGGAAAACAGCAAATGTGACGCCACTGTTTAAAAAGGGAAGTAGCCAAAAGATGGGGAATTATAGACCAGTTAGCTTAACCTCTGTAGTGGGGAAGATGCTTGAGTCTATTATCGAGGAAGAAATAGCAAGGCATCTTGATAGAAATTGTCCCGTTGGGCAGATGCAGCATGGGTTCATGAAGGGCAGGTCAAGCTTGACAAATCTTTTGGAATTCGATGAAGACATTACGAGCAACGTGGACAATGGGGACCCAGTGGATGTGGTGTACCTAGATTTCCAAAAGGCCTTTGACAAGGTGCCGCACAAGAGGCTACTGCATTAGATAAGGATGCATGCCATTAAGGGTAAAGTATTAGCATGGATAGAGGATTGGTTGACTAACAGGAAGCAAAGAGTGGGGATAAATGAGTGCTATTCTAGCTGGCAGTCAGTGACTAGTGGTGTGCCTCAGGGATCGGTGTTGGGACCGCAATTATTTACAATTTATATAGACGATTTGGAGTTGGGGACCACGTGTAGGGTGTCAAAGTTTGCAGATGACACTAAGATGAGTGGCAAAGCAAAGTGTGCAGAGGACTGCGAAACTTTGCAGAGGAACATAGATACATTGAGTGAGTGGGCAAAGGTCTGGCAGATGGAATACAATGTAAATAAATGTGAAGTCATACATTTTGGTAGGAGTAATAGTAAAAAGGATTATTACTTGAATGGTAAAAAGTTGCAGCATGCTGCTATGCAGAGGGACCTGGGTGTCCTTGTGCATGAATCACAGAAGGTAGGTCTGCAGGTACAACAAGTAATTAGGAAGGCAAATGGAATTTTGTCCTTCGTTGCTAAAGGGATTGAAATAAAAAGCAGAGAGGTTATGGTGCTGGTGAGGCCACACCTGGAGTACTGTGTGCTGTTTTGGTCTCCTTACTTGAGAAAGGACGTACTGGCACTGGAGGGGGTGCAAAGGAGGTTCACTAGGTTGATTCCGGAGTTGAGGGGGTTGGCTTATGAGGAGAGACTGAGTAGATTGGGATTATATTCATTGGAATTCAGAAGATTGAGGGGGGATCTTCTAGAAACATATAAAATTATGAAGGGAATAGATAAGATAGAAGTAGAGAGGATATTTCCACTGGCAGGTGAAGCTAGGACAAGAGGGCATAGCCTCAAGATTAGAAGGAGCAGATTTAGGACTGAACTGAGAAGGAATTTCTTCACCCAGAGGGTTGTTAATCTATGGAATTCCTTGCCCAGTGAAGTAGTTGACGCTACTTCAGTAAATGTTTTTAAAAAAAAGGTAGATTTTTTTTGAACAACAAAGGAATTAAGGGATACAGTGAGAACGCGGTAAGTGGATCTGAGTCCACGAAAGGATCAGCCATGATCTTGTTGAATGGCGGAGCAGGCTCGAAGGGCCAGACGGCCTACTCCTGCTCCTAGTTCTGATGTTCTTTTGTTCTAGTGTTCTTGCAAACTATTTAATTTCAGCTAAGGTAAAATCGCAAGTAATGTTTATTGGAGGGAGATTATCAAAAGTTAATTATGAAATGAAAACTGGAAATACTGAACCATATTTGCTTTTAAGTTTGGTTGTAGATACATGCTTCTTTAATTCTCCTCAGACTAAGACGTTGTTTCTGGGAGTTTTGGCTTCGATTTATGATGTTACGTCACAGCTCTTGGACTGGCGCACCCAAAGAGACCGTGTGTAGTTTGTCATCAACATGCTCCCAATGTCCTTGACGCCAGCATAGTTCAAGAATTTTGATTCATTCTAAAGTCATTGCCAGAATAAAGCAAAGAAAACCAACCCATGGCCATAAAAACTGTTACCCTGGTGCACTTCTGCCTATGGTATAAAGTGGTTGAAGAGCTTGTTGCTCTTAACCAGTTTAAACTGTTTTCAGAAGCAACTGTTTCAAGTGTGTTGAACATGCAGAGATGATTTGTCTGGATGCAGCCTTCAATGCAATGTTATTTAAATATGTTCTACATCTAAGTTTTAACTTGATATAAATTCTATACTGTCAGCAATACATACAGATAAATCTGAGCAGGGCAGGAGTGCAAAAAATTTTACACAGCCATCATTAATCTGCACAGGAAATTGTCCCCTTGTCACTGTCTTGCTCTATCAGCTAAATGTAATTTTGGTGTTTAATTTGCAAGTGCCTTTCTTTCTCGAGTTTCCCATACTGTTTTTGAAATCTTTTTTATTAAGCTGTGAAATAATTTAATCCAAGTGATTCTACATGGTTTAGTAAGGTATTTATCTGAATTGGGCTCTTGCTTGATACCTTGGTATTGTGATAAAGAACAGAATGTCTGCTTGATTTTATTTGTCCTTATCTCTCCATAATCAAGAGGTGATCAGTCCAATTGTTGAGCATCAAACTACCAGGAGATGAGATAACTCAACATCTGTTAAGGCAAAGCATGAAAACTTTGTTGTAATGATCCCAGTTGATGGTACCAGTAGACAAGTTAGATCCTAGAATGAAATCTGCCTTCAGTCAGCCACTGAAATGCAACCACACAAGTTTGTAAAGTTTCTTGAGTAACAGCATAGAAGCTTATTCCATAGAAAAAATAAAAACGTGCAATCTAAATGCAGAACACTTCTTGCTGTGTTTTGAGGTTTGTCTAGCTAATTTTTCAACCAACTTCCCAACACCATCACTTAGATTCAAAATCATTGAAATTGCACCTCTGTATCAAATGTTGAAGTTCAACTTGACTGATGGTCTCCAGTTTCTGTCCTGTGAACTATTAAGTCTTGACATGAATGTTAACAAAACTGAGAGCTTAAGCTTCCTCGGTTTTCCATGACCAGATTACTAATCAGACACTTTTGGTTTGGAAGCTTTACAAATTAAACTAACATGACTGTGCTTTCCCTGAACAACCCTACACATGTGAGGAGAGGAAGCTAAATTTGCATCTGAACTGATATTCAAGCTTTCAAACTCTGGGGTTTCTAACTCCAGTTGTTCCTTGATGCTGAGCTGGAAACAAGTCAATGGCCTTCAGTGTTTACCCATTTATTGTAAATTAAATATCTTTTCCGTTGACTCTCCGGGGGTCCCTGATATGACGTACAGGATTGATCAAGTAATGCATTAATTTCTAAAGTGCTAATAAACCAGGATTAATTCACTGAATGTTTTAATACAGTTTATACACCAAGGTCGCATTATTTGTCATGAGTGCTGACCATAATTAACTATGTAAATAGGCCATTGGCCCAATTGGTACAAGAGCTTCCTGCCTCACTACCACATTTCACCCTGTCAACGTAACCTTGTATCCTATCTCGCTTCCTTATGTTCTTAGCAAGCTTCCCTTTAAAGCATCAGTGTGGTTTCCTGCTACCATATGAACCAGAGAAATTGAATTTACGAAAGCGTTATCATATCTTCTCAATGTGCTGAAGTATTTGGTTCATGAATTACTTTTTGAAGTGACAGTGGGGAAGAAAATGTAGCAATCAACTTTGCACGTAACAAATAAATGGCAATTATTGGCCAAGAAACTGGAACATTCCACTCTTCGATTAATACCTTGTGACTATGAGGATCTACCTGATCAGTCGGATAAGGCATTAAGTCAGGGTAGCACTTAGATCTTCAGCACTGCGCTGATGTGTCCCACAGAGCACACACTGGAGCCTTTTGAGCTAGACCTTAACCCATGACTGTCTTACCTTAGGGGTTTGAGTTAATTCATAACCTAAATGTAAGCACCAAATTATAAGAAATATGTGACTACGTGGGAGATGATGCAGAGGAGATTTACCAGGATGCTGTTTGGGCCTTATTTTTATTCATTCACTGGATGTAGCCATTGCTGGCTAGGACCAACATTTGTTGCCCATACCTAATTACCCAGGTATGAGTCAGCCACATTGTTGAGAATCTGGATGTGCCTATAGGCAAAATCAGGTAAGGGTGGCAGGATCCTTCCTTAAAGGACATCAGTGAATTAGTTGGGTCTTTGTGACAATTGATAGTTGTTTCATGGTTATCATTAGACTTGTAATTCCAGAGTTTTATTGAATTCAGATTCTACTACCTGCCATGGTGGGTTTCGCACTGGGTCCCCTGAATATATTTTGCATCTCTGGATTAATAGTTTGGTGATAGTAGCTTGACCGAAGGAGGGTCTGAGATATGAGAAAAGATTGGATAGGCTGGAGTTGTTTTCCTAGGAGCAGCGAAGGTTGAGAGGGCACCTGATAGAGGTGTATAAGATTGAGGGGCAGAGGGTGGGTAGGAAGGCACTTTTTCCACGATTCAAGGGGAGTCCATATCCAGGGGGCATAGATTAAGGTAAGAGGTAGAAGGCTGAGTAGAGTTGAGAAATTATTTCATCCGCAGGCTGATGGCAGTCAATGGTGGTTGAGTCAAAAAGTTTGGTAGCATTTAAAACAGTGTTTAGATATTCACTTGGTTTGCCATAGTCTTCAGGGCTGAGGTCCAAAAGATGGAAAATGGGATTACTGCAGTCGATCTATGTTCATTGGTGTGAATATGATGGACTGAATGGCTGTCTTCTGTCCTGTAAATGTCTGAACCTATTCAGAAATAAAATTCGATATTTATGATCCTTCAACATGAATATCTTGCATGAGGCTTGCAGCTGTTATCCTTGTTAACCTATGATGTGCATTTTGTTACTTTTGTAAATGTATTTAATCCTTTGGATTAGAACATTGGTAAATTGAATAAGGGTTAGATTACGTGATCTGTGGAACCATATCTCAGCACAGAGCCATATTTCTAAGAGGTGAAGGACGTTTGAATTACTACTTTGTTATTGGTAATCTACAGTATTTACTAATTTTGATGATTGTTTGTTTTCCAGTAATCCAAAAGACAGATGAAGAGTGGAAGTGACCGCTGACTTTATAAATACAGTACTACATTTTGTTGTTGGGTTTGGCCAAGTTTGTGGTCAATTGTTGCAGCTGTGACCATGTCAGTGGATATGAATAGCCAGAGTTCTGACAGTAATGATGACTATAATGGAGACTCTGAGGAGGAAGACCAGGGCGATATGAGTGCCTATTACGAGGGAGTAGAGTGTGATGTGGAGCAGCAAGGTGCGGATGCCTTTGATCCAGAGGAATATCAGTTCACATGTCTGTCGTACAAAGAGTCAGAGAATGTGCTAAATGAACAAGTCGATACCATGGCAGATGCTCTAAAGGTAAGACTTTGCAAGAAATTTTGGGCCATTTTGCAAGTTTGACCATTTCCAAATGTTGGGTGTCTACTTTGAAAGTGCAGAAGAACTTAAGCAAAACTCATTACACAAATTTATTTTAATTCAAATTTGTGCAAACATAATTCTAAGCTACTGTGGTGCTTTGTAAATTTTCTTCTTTCACTAACTCATGGTGTGTTATAATTGTTTGGGTGGTAGCAACCCAACTAACACTTACTTGCATGTGGACTTGGCATCAGTGATTGCAGGTGATGGCACACTGTTCAAGATGATGCCTGCCCTTGTGGGATGCTCACACATGTATACTTTGTAGAAGCTGTCTCTGGAATGTAGCAGTGTGAAAGCTTGTCATGCAACTACTTTGAACTCTTCCTGTATGCCTTAATGTTAGAATCCAAGTTTTCAGCCCAGTATGCCTGTGCCAATCCTGTGAAAGAGTTCACAGTCCTACAACTTATTCTTTCTCAGTAGTTAAGTAATTTCTTCCTTTCAAATGTAAAATCACTTTTCTTTTGAAAGTTACTGTTATTGGCTTGTTCCTGACATTGTGAGCAAACAATGATGCAAGTACCACCAAGTAGAGTTGACCTATTCCAGGTTTTACACATCTGTTGTAACTAGATATTGGATATCAAGCAGATTATCAGGTAGTGATGATGAATGTTCACAGCTTCACCTTTCGTATAATAGCAAAATTGGACCATTATGATCAGTAATGTTGCCAAAGTTCTGTTTAATTGTACACTAGTTGTAATATGTATATTGGGAGAGAGTTCAAAATGGTTTCTTAAGGCTGTTTTGATCTTCTCCGTTAGAAGATCGCAATACAACCCTTCAAAAGCTGGTGGAATTGAAGCTTGTGTAGCAAAGTCAGAAGATAACTTTAGTCAGTGTAAACGGTTGCCTTGTTTCACTTTTGGATAGAAGTCTGTCCTACTCAATTCCTAGTAATATTGAGCCTCCCTTGAACCTAATGGGCACCACAGGATGAATTCAAATTCGATGTTATTTTGTCATTTTATTATACGTGACTATATCTTGTGGGAGCCTTCTTTGTAACATGAGGTACCATGTAACGGTGTCAATTCCAAAACTGTGGTGATTGAATAAGTTAAATTCTCGAAATCTGGTTTGGTGCCATTATTGTCTGTAAACTGTTCATGCCTCTTCCTTTGCTCTACTCCCTGCATACGGGTCTAAAGAACAGTCACTGGACCTGAAACATTAACTCTGCTTTATTTTCACAGAATCTGCCAGAACTGCTGAGCTTTTCTAGAAATTCCGCTTTTTGTTTCTGAGTTCCAGCATCCATGGTTCTTTATTTTTTTTCTTATTAGAAAAGACCTTTACTGAGAAACCATAGCTATCATCTCATGCTTCATTCAGACCCAAGCTCCTTGTATTTCGTTGTTAGCCTTGGGTTGCCTTAATCCCTTAGCCCCAACAACCCTTGGATTTTGTTGATAATTTACATCCTCTACATAGTTGGTCCATGAGCCAGGTCGACCATTCCTGATCGGCTGTCGTGACTGCAGTCCCTGTAGACCGAGATCGTAATGATTTGGCTGGAGCACTTCGAATCCCTAAAAGCCTAGTCCATCTGGCATTGATTGTAAGTTTGAGAGAGACAGACCAATCCTGACCCTCTTCCTGACTGCAGGTGCTTCAATTTTGGACCCTTGATTTGTGATTTATATCAAATGTATCATGCCCACATCAAAGAATTTCTGTTGCTCAAAGTCTGAGAGATAATGCTACTTGATGTATTTCGCAAATAGTCCAACCATTTGTTATCATCGAAACAGTGTGGTCCATTACCATGGAAATAGTGTCCAGACAACATGATCATTTCACAATGGTTCTAAACATTTCTTGGAGATGACAAGGTAATAGCACCCAGATGGACAAACGTCTGAATTATCCATTTCCCTCCTCCTCATTGGGAACTTATCATAGTAACAGTGGCGAGGTTCCAAATCTATTCTATTAGATGATCAGTCTCTGCATTGCATCTGGTAATGCCATTTTCTTGCACCAGTGTTCCATGATAGCAATCAGACAATGTTCAATCCCTTTTGCTGAGCCGCTGTCTTGGCTTAATCCGAGTGTATTTCTACTGAGGACTGACCTTTTATTTGCAGCAATATTCAAGGGTTTGGAGATTCCTTTTCATATTTCATAAAGTCCATTTGGAGGGATTCTGATGCTACGTCTTGGGATTGCACTGTTGGATTGTCTTGCTGTTTTTCTCAACATTAAAAATAGTGACATGGACCAGTTTTGTTTTCTTGATCACAAATGATCCATTAAAATATTTCAATTCTTTCCAGGGTGAAAAGATTTTTCTTGTTCTAAACCACTTACCTGTCACCTTAAACTTGTGCCCTCTGGTCTTGGACATGTCTGCCATGTGGTAAAGATTCTTATGATCTACTCTGTGTATGCCTCTCATAATTTTGTGTACCTCAGTCAGATTCCCCTTGTCCTCCTGTGCTCCAAGGAAAATAAACCCAGCCTACCCAGTCTCTCCTCAGAACTGAGACTTTCCACTCCAAGGCAGCATCCCGGTGAATCTCCTCTGTACTGTCTCCAGTGTGATCACTTCCTTCAGTAGTGTGACAACCAGAACTGCACACTGGGTATTCTGTCTGTGGCATAACCGATGTTTTATAGAAGTTATAACAGGACTTCTTTGCTCCTATATTCTACATCCTTACAAAGGAAGGCGAGCAACCTGTAGGCCACCTTCACGCTGTCTACTTGTGGTGGCACCTTTAGGAATCTGTGGACATGAACACCAAGTTCTGTTTGTTCCTAGGGACTTGGCATTCATTGTGTACATCCTTCTTCTTTTAGACCACCCAAAATTCATTACCTCCCACTTATCAGGATTAAATTCCCTCTACCATTGCTCTGCTGAATTTTTAAGCTGATCAATATCATACTGTAGCATAACAACATTGTCCTCACTATCAATAGCACCCCCAATTCTTGTCATTTGTAAACTTACTAATTATACTTTCTGCATTCACCTCAGTCATTAATGTACATAACCAAGAGCAAGGATGCCAGCACCGATCCCTGTGGTACACTGTTGGTCATAGGCTTCCAATCATAAAAACAACCCTCCACCATCGTCTTTTACCTCCTAAATGCAAGCCAATTTTCAATCCAGTTTGCTAACCTGCCCTGGATTCCACACGCTCTTAACTTTGGGAGCAGCCTTCCATGTGGAACTCTTGTTAATGGCCTTACCAAAGTCATTTAAGCTACATCAACTGCCTCATCAACTACCTCGTCAATATATTCAGTCACTTCTTTAAAAAAACACTCAAATAAGTTAGGCAGATAGGATTTCCTTCTAACAAATCCATGTGGATTATTCTCAATCACTCTGTGCCTTTCCAAGTGTTGATTAATCCTGTCGTTCAGAATTTATTTCCAATAATTTCTTTACCGCTGACATCAAACTAACTGGCCTGTACTTACCTGGTCTCTCCCTGCTACCCTTTTTTGAGCGAACGAACCTCGTTAGTTCTACTCCAATCATTTGGATTTCTCCTGTGGGTCAGTGAAGTATTAAATATCTTCGCCAGGACTCCAGGAATCATCTCCCTTGCCTTCCATACCAGTCTGGGATACATCTTATCAGCCCTGGGAATTTCATACACCTTTATGTCTGCTTTAAAAAAAATCTAATCTCCCCTCCTTAGTTATTTTAACATGTTCTAGAACCTCACCATCCCAACTGTAAGGAGAAAAGGAATGAAATCCAATAATTATACTAGAGAAAATGTACTTGGCAAGCTACAGGAGCTCAAGGCCAATATGTACTTGAGCCTGATGGGATGCATCCTAGAATATTAGATAAAGGAGCTACAGTGATTGTGGATACACTGGTACTAATCTTAAGAAATCTTTAGATTCTGGAAAAGTCTCAGTAGATTGGAAAACTGCCAGTGTAACACCCTTAATTATAAAAATGCAACAAAAAATGGCCAGTTAGCTTAATATCTCTGTGACGATACTGTACCTTTGAGTTGTGTTCTGTCCTGTTTTTCTTGCAGCGAGTTCAGGTAGACAGTTGGTAAACAGCGTTGAGTTCTCCCTGGGTACTTTATTTTAAAGTAAGACAAAACAGTCGTGTACTGGAATCAGGCTCTCACAGACCCTAAAGGGCTTTAGTTTAGCTTTCAATTGTTGATGGTTTTTGCTGGCTGCTGGAGCTGAAAGATTGAGTTTGCTGCTGCTGCAGTGAAGCCCTAGACAGAGAGGCTCCCTCTTTAAAATAAAAATCAAAAATTAAGGGGCAGGTGTTGGGACGTCTGGTCTGGTCTGGTCCATAACATCAGTTATTGGGCTAATGTTAGAGACTATTATAAAGGATGTTATAACAGAGCATTTACAAATATGTAACATGATCAAGCAGAGTCAGCTTAGCTTCCTGAAGGGGACATCATGCCTGACAGATTTATTAGAATTCTTTGGGAAGTGACAAGCATGATAAATAAAAGGAAAGCGGTAGACATTTGGATTTTCAAAAGGCGTTTGTTAAGGTACTGCATATTAGGCTACTTAATAAGATAAGAACCCATAGTGCTGGAGGTCGTATGTTAGCATGGGTAGAGGAATGACTAAGTATTAGAAGACTGAGTTGGGATAAGGTGGGCATTTTCAGGCTCGTAATGTGACGTCATAGGGGTCAGTGCTGGAGCTGGATGTGGGAAATGAATGTACTATAGCCAAGCTTGTGGATGACATCAAATTAGGTGGGAAGGCAAGTAGTGAGGATTAACTGAAAAGTCTGCAGCGGAGATAGGCAGGTTAAGTGAGTGGGCAAAAACTTGGCAGATGGAATAAATTGCGGGAAAAGGTGAGGTTATACACTTCAGGGTGAATAGAGGTACTGAGTATTATTTATATGGAGAGAGACTGTATAAAACTACAGGACAGAGGGATTTGGGAGTCCCCATCGATGAATT